TAAATGAAATTTCAGCATAACATTGATTAACATTTTTATTATAACAAAATATTAAAGGTTACAATAATAATAATAAAAAAACAACTATCGGTGTCTATAGGATAGAGCTTACAATAAGTGAGGGTATAATAGGTGTCGTTGGTCAGTGTAGTACAAAGCAAAGACTATTAATTCCATGCATTACGGTCGATAAGATAATCATCAGCTTTATAATAGCCTTTACTTACTACTATTGCACTATTGATCTGTTATCCTAAAACATACATCCAATAAATAACATTCTGCAGAATAGAGAACATCCTACTTTTTTGAAGTCTACACGACTTAATGTAGATTATTGCAGTACAGAGCTATTTTTCGTAATATAAAAAGTTTTTGAGTCGTGGCTTCGAAAAGAATTTTGTAATTATAAAAAAACCACTCAATCCAGTTATGAGACACATTGTTTAAATACTTTGTAATCTAGCGTTTATTAATTTGTTTTTAAAAATTACAAAATACTGTAACAGGAAGTTCCGCAATCACTTCCTTTATTCTGGAATATTTGTCGTTTTAAGATCGGGTTTTAAAATATAGCGCTGAACGCATCGCTGTCACAATTATATTTTAAAACCTATTTCAAAATAAGGGTTTAATTTGATTGTTATTATTGCCTCGGGTCTGGGTGTTATGTTACCTCCATTGTTTCAGAATATACATAATAAAAGCGTTTTTACTACTTAATTTGTGACCTTAGCAATATATATGCTGTTCTTGTCTAGTATTTATATATTATTATTATTCTACAACTTTTACATAAATTTGATCTGTTCGACCAGTTATATTAAACGAGACGTACGAGTACATAAGGATAGAGCGCGGGGAGTCAGATTTGCTTTAAATTTAGAAGTTTTGAGGGCCGTCGACGTCAAATAACTTAGGGAGCAACAAGTCGCCTCCCGTTCGCACTCCCCCTGGTGTTTGTGCCCTGGAAATTTTCCAAGCATAACTGGACCGACCAGGCGATGCGGTTGCAATCGGAAATTTTATTATTATATGAAACATTTGCTTTTTAGCAAACGTTGTGGTGGGTGGTCGATAGCACTCTTGTGATTGGTTTGCGTGGGAGCTTTAGATTAATAATAGAATTTAAAAATGTCGTTTATCTAAATAAGGCACAACGGCTATTTTTCCTACCTGTCTTATTTCATACAGAAAATCTTCTCGTTGATAATAACTAAAAACTCGTAAATAGTAATTAAAATACAATCATTTATTTTATTTCATAAAATAATATAATAAAACTAGTAATTCAAACACAGCCCCCAAGGCTAACTGCTTGAATTACATAGTAGTTTCAAACTATTTAATGAAGAGCAAATATAAGTCTCCACGGAAGACGGTAAATTTATCAATAAACAAATATCTATGAAAACAAAAAAAAAATACATACATTGTAGTATAATAAAATTCTAAATAGCTTGAAAAGAAAACATGAACCAGTAATAATAAGCTTATTAACAAAATTAATCAATGGCAAAACGGGTCTGTTTATATATGACACACTGTCACGGAATATGTCAAGTGAGCTATGACGCTTATTATTAGTATTCAAGAAAAAATTGGACAGCATTAAATCTAGATTTACTTACTTTTGTCTATTTTTTTTTTAAGTATGATCTGTTTTAACAATGTTTGACTGACAGCAAATTCATTTCGTTTAGCAGCACCGTTCAACTATATTTAAGGAAACACATTCTGGGGATTTTGTACTGTATGAGAGTCCCATATACGAGTGATAGAGACGGTGCGTGACCCATTCCTCATATGACACAAAAACTGTTTAAGAACAGTTTTAATAACTGCGACCTTATTTAGATCACTAAGTAAGGAACATACTTGCAACATAAGGAATTTGGTAGAAATTTTTTAATAAAAATATTTGTTCCATAACTAAATAAAGTTTTATAGTTATTTTGTCGAAGAAAATATGATATTATTTTTATAATGTTACTTAATCATCATTATTTTTAGGTTGTCTCTTGAAACTCTAGCAATGATGAAATGTGAAGCCGAGTTAAGCCATTAAAAGTAGGTCGGGTCTGTAAAGAAAGAACGCTTCGCTTCCCAATTAAGCCACCTGCGACAAAAACACCTAGTTTCTATCGACAGAGCTGAAAGAAGTTATAATTCGACCTCAATATATTATTTGGTTTTATTACATTTGAATTTATTGATATTGTAATATAGCTTGTTTATTTCTTATATTTTTATTTTTAAATATTTAGTTTTGAAAGTACTTTTGAATTACAAAACATTTTGCACCTAGCGGTCGCTCTTTATGGCTTGTAAATCTACAATCTGCTAGCAGACTCGCTTTACCTATTTTTTTTTTTGCTATTAAAAATAATAACTCGAAAAAAATTTCAGTATTTCATGTTAAGGATAAAATTCCATATTTGGTTACATTCCTCTAATTTTTAATCAGGATCATATTTTGCCCATCTTACGGATTAAGTCTGTTTTGATATAATTTCTATATAATATAATGATATCAAATTTATAATATTGATATAGGACTAGCTTTCCGACCGCGGATTCGTCCGCGTAGAATTCGTTTGTTATCGTACTTCTTATTTACATTCCATACTTAAACCCCTTTAGTCCAATTTTTCACAATAAAACTATCCTCTGTCCTTTTCCACTCTATATGTGTACCAAATTTCATTAAAATGGGTAAAAACAAAACTCACACAACCACACACACACACACACACACACACACACACACATACACACACACATACACACACACATACACACACACACACACACACACACACACACACACACACACACACACACACACACACACACACACACACACACACACACACACACACACGGACTTTCGCATAGATGCGTTAGTATGAATTTATTATTTAATTTTCAATACTGAATGTATGGTATGTAATACTGAATGTAGGTTATGCATGAAGACGAATGAAAAAAATGATATTGTATAATGAAGCAAACAACAGTCAATTAGTTAATGACGCAAATTTCACACATGTGAGGTATACTTATCTAAAAAAGGCGGATCACTAAAAGTAAGACAATTTATTAAAAAATAAAAAAGCAAACTTCCGCCAACGTAAATCGATTTTCATAAATCTTGTTTTAACCGTACTGTATCTAAGAAGATAAAAATGAAACCTTTTATGATAACCTTTTGTGCTTCTGTTTGTCTGTTCCTTTATTTCGGAAGTGCATTGATATATTGAATTGGAATTAATACATATACCCAGGTCCCTAGAAACTGTGAAAAATTGTAAATTCTAAATCAACATAAAAAATAAGGCCATTTTCGCCGCAAAAAAGCACATTTTTATATTAAAATTGGTAGGGTTCTCCGGTTGAACTGAAACTATTGAACTTGGCAAGTAGCATCGTTTTATAGTACAAGTTCAAAGAAAAGACCGATAATTAAACATTGAGGCTATCAAGGTATAGTTCAAGTGATGTGTCATATCATATCAAAGAGCTTGATATGTATATTTTTTTATTGAATATTGGTATGGAACCCTCAGGGAGCGGAACCCTCAAATAAAAAATATTTCAACCATTATTTGCACATGTAAGGGAAAAAATTAGAATATAACCGACTTCAGAATATAAAAGCCAAAAATAAATGTAACTTATCTAGGAAGTTCATTATCTTGGTCAAGGAAATTCTTTTGAAGCCGGGCGTCTCATTAGAGACGTACGTACTGTAGGTAGTCACAATGTCTCAATTAGCAGACTTAAACTTGCATATATGTGCTGCGTAAAGCTCGCAGCAGCTAAGCAATTTTTAACAAAAACGATAGTGCAGCCAAAGAAATTTAATTACAAATTTAAACAATGCGAAGAGACTTTTCCTCGACTTGTTATGTTGAAAATACAGTTCAAAGCTAATTGCGGAAATAGGACGTCCTGTGACAGGTAAACCGATTTGCTTTCCTCTGTGTAGAAACGATAGCTTTGTGTACATACCATGGCAATATTGTAATAGGATAAACGTACATAAACTACACAAATTCAATTTAATTAAGTTGGCTGTTTGCATTTAGGGCAATGACAAACACGAAACAAATATTTAGTTAAACCGCTGGCTATTAAATCGTGATTTCATTGCTATGATTGCTATGCTCGTTTACCGTTTAAGTATTTCCAATCAAAGCACATTTGTAAGCATTATCGTGAATCGAAATACATTTCTGTTCATCTAAAATATCTAAACTTTGTAATATTACCATTTGTGCATTTGTATACTGAAACAAAATTGGATTAAATCACTTTTGGACGGACCTTTGGCAAGCAGTGGTTTCTCCGGAAAATAGCTACGCTGCCGATTGGTTGCGCGTGGTCCATTCCACATTGAATATGTACAGAAATAATTGATTTATTCTTTATGTTGTATTCATTGTAGATTTGGAAAACACAGTAAATAAATATAAGACAAAATCTTAATACATATATTGCTTAGATCTGTAATGAAGCACTTGTACCATGGGAATATGAAACAACTGCTACCATAACATGCAGCCACGGAACAATATAGAAAAGTTGTTTTTACATTGATCCGAACATTCTACAAAAGGCACTTACGTTTTTCGGAGGACATAAAGACTTTTCTGAGGCATCTGCAGTCGTTAACACCCACAAACTAGGAATAGGCCGCATTGTGGATAATGCCTCGTTATTTATATGTGATTATATGAGGAAGGAATCCCAGAAATGTTACCGTGATTAAATGAATAAATAAACGACAGCATCACGTACATTTCTCAGATTCAAAGATATCTGAAGCCCTCGTTTTTTGGAATATCTGAGACAACAGACAGACCAGAGACAATTTAATAGAACCCGGGATCTCCGAAATAGGGGGATACCTTGATAACATCGTGCGAACTACAGGGTATATTATGTACTTATTGTTATTGTTGTCCCCAGCGTTGGCCGCCATGCCGCGCTGCTACATGGTGAAGAAGGGCATTCAACGGCATGAGGGCCCGCCGCCCTGTAGTCCCACCGAAGCCAGCGTGGCGCCGCCATACTACAGCCCGGCGGAACACTCAGCGCTCACCGGTATGTTTAAAAAGCCTAAAGTATGTGGGTTTTCTCTCTCACATATTTCCTGTAAATCACATAGAGAAATATAGCATATTTCACTCAGTACTGTGTCTATGAGCTACAAAGTGTCTCAAACATTCGTATTTCCAAATTTCATATATACCTATTTTTATATTCGGCAAACTTACCTAAAAATAAATAAACTAATAATGCAAGCTGCCTTTTTTCAATCTTAAAAAAAATACAAGATATATTTTACGAATTACGCATGCACCTTTGTCGTTAGTTAGAAATATAATGTGATTGCCTCATTTTATAACATAAATGTCGTTTGTTTTGCTGACTTGACTGAATTTGATATCTTTGGTCTCATTAAGTTTGATTTATTAATAATCGCTTTTTCAGGCTAATATTAGGCTTACAACATATGTACCAGTATATATATATCAACTTATGTATTACCAGTGTCAGTTCAGCCAGTTCCAAGTCCTGTCAATAAGAAAGTATGTGAATGTGACAATTATGACGTCGTAAAACATTATCTTAAAATTAACAACGAAAAGTTTCAAGATTCAAAACAGGATTTTGAAGAGGATTAAAGCACATGAAAAGAATAGGTGAATATGTAATTGTATTATAAGATATAAATCTCATGAATTTTGTCTTGCCCAAATATACTTGTAAGTCATTTGCATCGAGGTAACTTATTATTCCCCTCAAAGTTTTATTTATGTCTTCTTGTAAAACATTAATATTATTACATTTTAATAATATTGTTGTGCATTGGGGAGGTCATTTATATAAATTAATAACAAACGTGCAATTATCCCTTCTCGTGGAACGTTTTAAATGTAGATCTAAAATTGTATTTTAGAATTTGTTTCTTTTTCGTCATTAATTTGGTGATTTCAGTACACTGCTTTGGGTCTGTCAAATAACTATTTAGCCATTCATAGGCTTTTTCACGTATACCATAACACTCGAGCTTACAAAAAAGGTTTTTATGATTTACATACTACATGTTAAGTACAATAAGTGTTACAGGCTATCCATTAAATAGTTCTTTAGTAAGATGTAAAATATTTTGAGGTTACTTTCATGTCTAATATTGGCAGGTGAGCTATTTTATATATATGGGACTCTTTTGTTTAACCATCTTTTATGTTTACACCCAGCCTTAATAAGAAAGTGTTGATTCAAAACATTCAAGAAAAAGTTGTTGAAGTATATGCACCTGTTATTTATAATTTTTATCGAGTGCTCCGCCGTGCTTCACACACGCTAATACATTGGTGCCGGCTGTATTCCACAAAAAATGTTGACCGGGGATAATCATTTAACTGAATTGTAAAATTGTATATTCAAATAGCGTAATATTACCAATAGTGCAACTGAAAGGCCTCTTGTTTACTCTGTAATTAAACAATAACGGTTCGCCGATTCATGATAATCATTAAACGATCAGACTTGCAATGGCCAGGAAACTCGGTTATATCAATACAATCAACGGTCATGGCATATTGCGCTCGGTGTAAACTGGTCTATTGTCTTTGAAAGATTAACTACAAACTCTGTCATGGTATGAACTACAAGCAATTTAACGTTCTACTGTATATTAAAATAATAAATAGTAAATAATCGTATTTTTTACATATTCATTTATATATACAGTAACCCCCCCCCCACATGATACATTCATTCGTCATTATTAATCTACGGAATTTCAATAGATCTGATATTCTGGAATTTTAAAAAATTAAATTCAGTTTCATGTTTTATATGTGTTTACTTCTTTTGTGCGTTTTATTTCTGTGTCCAAACAATATCAATGTTTTTACATGATTTCTTTCTTTTGACTTCGTCGATGCCTTTTAAGAGTTATTTATTGCTTTAATTTCTTACTTTATATTAATAAAAAGCGTATTAAATGCTTTTTGCTTTATAATAAAAGTTAAAATGTAAGTTTTGTTTATTACTTGGTGAATTTACCGTAACCCTTTCAATTTGTCATTGGAAAGATATTCTACAAATATTAGCCTTGTGAAAGCGATTGTATTTCGATTGCAATAATATTTTTTGCGATTGCAATATAAATGTAAATTTTTTGAAAGACATTATAGTTAGCGCTTGATGCAAAGTTATTAAGTTTTTATTAAGTAAGTATCCAATCACCATAGTTCAAAGTTTTGTTAAGCCTAAATAAAAACTTTTAACGCACGGGAAATGCACCTTAGACCAGGGCTCTCCGATCCCGCATCCGTCCTGAAAAGGGTAGGCTTAAGCGCGGCCTGTCTACCCGGTAAAACCCGCTGCGAATACAGGGGGGGCGTCAGCTCTGTTCGCTGGTCCACAGAAGGAGGGCTAATACGCAATCCTTTCCTCTTTGCCGTGTGCACTCCCACTTGGGTCTCCTAGTGCTAGCCTTCCATGGCTGTCCCCTCAGACATACACCGCAGTGCTCTTCTGCCCGTGGCGCTCCTACAAGACACCTTTTTAATACCTATCCCATATCTATGTATAATTTACCTGAATCCAATTACTATTTTCACAGCATTAACTTTAACTAGGTAGTCGCTGTAGAAGGACGTCCTTCTTGCGAATCATCAGCGAGTTTGTTTTGACTAATTGTACACTGTGACATGGGATAGGGCTTCATCACAAAACGCCAAGTGAAGTCTATTATAACATATTGTTGTTATTAAGGCCTCAAAAAACCGTTTATTTATAAAAACAAATGACAGATTCAAAGCATACGGATTACATAAAAGTGCCCAATTCAAAATTTAAAAAAAAATTTACCCGCCCAATTTTTGAATCGCCTTTTATGCAATATAAATATCCATTGAGGGCCAACCATGTAACATAATACGTTTTATTCACATGATCCAAGTCCTAAAAACATAAAATAGAACTTTCGATGACAGCTAAAGTACTGTAATATAAAATATCGATGCAAACGTGGATGAAACGTTATGATATATGGGCTTCGGGATTACCGACTGTCAGTTCAAACATATTTTAACTTTCCCATTTTGCTACGTTTTAGGCGACATGGAAAAATTCCGATCCGTCATGATGTGAAGTGATTTGAAATTTTGTTTTTTACACGTCTAACACAAAGTCGCCTTCCGCTGCCTGTACGCTTAGATCTTTTAAATCTGAGATATAATCACGAATAATTATTCAGACGGAGAAGTTGTTGATATTCATAAACTTCCATAGATAAAATCAGAAAAGTCAATATGATAATTTATTAAAACATTAAATAGATAAATCTGTTAGACATACGCGTTTGGTAGACACAAAACACAATTTTACTCCATTTGTCTTTAAGGATCGCCCACTGAGCCCGTTCCAATTTTAGAAGAAGGGTTTTGTTAGCACCACCCCAAACAGATAAACAATAGCCAATAATTGATTGTCAGAGACCAAAATACACCATACTAATATTATAAAGGGAAAGTTTTGATTGTTTGTTTGCATTGAATAGTCTTCAAAACTACTGGAACGATTTTTTATATTCCTTCATCTGTGGAAAGCTACAAAATACGCGGGCGCGATGATAAAATTTTCATTGTTTTTTGCATCGAATGGGTTCCAAAACCACTTGACCGATTTTGAAAGTAAATTCACCTACGGGAATCTACGTCATATTCGGGTGACATAGGTTATAATTTACGCGGCTAGTTAACAGTTAATTATATAGGTACGCTTGTGGGGTACAGGTAGTTTGAAGGCAACACCGATTGGCGATAATCGAAACTACTTTCTCGCTTTCTGTACTGAAAAGTCCAAGCTCTTTAAGAGCTCGACAGTATTTCTCTATCTAAAAAAATTTCAGACTCAAACAATAGTGCATATGTGTTACGATCTGCAGTTAGACGTGCTAAGTTATCTTCAGGAGTTTTCTGAGATCAAACTCATGCTCTATGAGTTCTCTGAGAACTTAAGATATTTTCCTTAACAATTAATGCTCCAGATTCAACTTGATAATGCATGAGCGTCGTCATGGGCTTTAAATACGCTTCCACCCATCAAGTGTCTCCTGGACTGAGCGCTTCCTGTCCGAACTCTCTAAGAGCTCAAGCGAGTTTGTTTGTCAATGAAATTCTTAGGGTCGACAGACATGCCGCCACTTATCTTTAGTCAGACATGCGTCTTATTTTTCGCAGAACGTCAGAGAGCTAAAAAATAAATGATATTGAATTCGACCTTGCACACTCGACGGAAATCGTGCACTAATATATACTTCCGTGAGGTGCTTGACTGAGCTCCGTCAATTTTACACCGACCCTTGACACATACAGACTGATCGGTCTTCTCCGTGAACCCACCCAGTCGCACCGGAGTCACGGATATCGGAGACTAAAATTTAATAAAGCAATTAATTTCATAGCAATTTTGTCGAACACAGTCCTTTTATTATTTACGAACCGATTGAAATAAAACTTATACTAAATGTTAACGGAAGAACCACAGTACAATAGTGAAAACTGCATTTAAATCGGTTCAGCCGTTTCTAAATTTAGCGTGCACAAATGCACAGACAAACAGACAAAAAAAAAAAAAAATTGTTTTGTGTTCTATAACGTTTTGTAAATGCCCTTCACAATAGTTTTTTTCATATACAGATAATGTACAGATATCGATCAGTTACGTTTTCATTATAGTATAGATAGCAAAGCACTTCTGTTACAATACACTATTCCTTGCTACTAGGTACTATAGTGATGTGTCCTTATCAATTTATGAAAATATTGATGCAAAATCCAGTTATCTTAAAGCAATATTCGATAACGAATGTAGAACCCACGAAACAATCTTGTTGATCCATATACATCTGTACCCACGATCGTCTACGTATTTCAGTTGTATGCGTGTACAATAAAGATCACAATCCCTTAGCATCTATGATATGATGTATTGTAGCTATCCTTAGAGGTTACAGTAAAATGATTTGCGGTGTACACCGTCTCTGGGGTGAAACTCGATAAAATGGTCCAAAGAATGAAATCAAAGCCGAACAGTAAAACGATTTTCTGTTTAGAAATAAACTTCGTGTGTTTCGAAATGGATACATGAAGTTTATTTCTATAAATTTAAATAGTGTATATTAATTCCCATTCCGTATCACTATTATAATCACTGGCATTTTATTTCCATTCGCAATAAAAATCACTCAAAATGACAAAATATACAGACACACTCGTTGACGCTATTTTGTCTGTGACGGAGAAATATTCTAAATAAAATAAAAAATATACAATAAAAAATTAAATAAAGAGAAGCTTTTAATTGTGCGCACTAAAACGTCAATAAATAAATTCTAAACATTAAAAAACACTTATAATTAAAATTTTCTCTAACAGATATTGACTTCAAAATCTTGTAGCGCTATTGAAATCGGAGACGAAGAATTACACATATTTTTTTCCGTCTTGCAAGCGTTTCAAGTCAATAACTGTTTTATTTTGGTTATATATGGAATAAAATTTTGGTTATAGATACTTTCAATGTTTCAAATTTATATATATATATATATTCAAGTTTAAGGCCAACTAATAAAAACTTGTTTTATTATATTTTTATTTTTACTTTTGTTTCAATATGTTGTTGTTCTCATAAAGACGGATCTAAAAAAAGTGTAAATGCCACCAATGTTATATTGGTGGAATTGTGTAAATGCAAATAGGCCATGAATTAAATAAGAAGAAGTGTATATTTCATCTTCAACTTTAATTTCAAACGGCATTTATGTCAGCTATAATGTCAGCCGTCATATTGACGAAGAACAGAACAGTGATATACCAAATAACTGAGGCATACTTAACTATGTACACTGTCATATTTCTCGTAAATCTGTTAATTGTCTTCTCTCAAATTCCCTTAATCTCAAAAGGCATAAATATAAAGATTGGGGCGATTTAATTATATTTAACTTTCTAATAAAATTGATTTGATGGACATTACTATTAACGTATTGAACAACAACAATTTAGTTAATGAGTTCCTGCAATTTTTAGATATAATACGTCTCCTTTAAGATCTTTGTTTTTAAAGTTATAATTAATAATCGCGACAATAAACTAATTTGGCTATGGAAAGGCAATAAACTCGTGTAATTTTTTTTATACAAAAACATAAGGAATATTAAAAACAAAAATCAATATTATAACATTCTAAAATAATGTATTTTATGTGCACAAAGAATAAAAATATGAATACGAAGTAAAAAAATAAATGTAAAGTTAACTGCTATCAATGATTTTTAATAATATACATGACATCGATTCAACTACTTTTAATAATCAAATATACAAAAATTAGCATAAGATTCCATTTACACGACACGGCGCTCATTTTGAAACCCTCTCTAATAGTTAATATTGCACGCTTAAGATTGAGCTGAGTATGTTTGTTCACAGAACCACGGAGCGTCGAGTACGCCGAGCTGCGTAATAGACCGCTTTCTGAGCGGTCGGCGGCCGACACCGAGGCGGCACACGAGCTCCTCTCTCTGGCACATAGCCTGCCACCCCTTCCCCCTGCTGTCGTTACAGTCCTTCATCCCCCTGAACCCTCTCCCCTTGTACCTCTCTACACCTACACCATCCAACCCACCAATATCTACATCCTCGCCGATGAGACAACAGACCCAATCTTCCACACCGTTCAAACTGTCACTCCATTGCAACCAATTGAGTACACCGTCGAGCCACAGGTCAACTACGTCGCCTACCAACAACTACCACCTCAAGAGTATCAACCGCAGGCCGATTATGAGCAAACTGATTATAAACCATCAGAGTATCACGAACTGGAGACGCAGCCTGAAAATGAACAAGTACAGGATCCGGATCTCGTTGTCGATGAATCTGATCCGGAGAGTTTGTCGCCACCGAAAGAGAAGACGGGCAAGTATGACTGCAACGAGTGTGGTAAACGATATGCGACTTCATCCAATCTTTCGCGTCACAAGCAAACGCACCGCAGCCTAGACTCACAGGCGGCGAAACGCTGCGGTGAATGTGGAAAAGCGTATGTGTCAATGCCTGCTTTAGCGATGCATGTGCTCACTCATCGGATGGGCCATGTGTGTGGTGTGTGCGGCAAGCAATTTTCACGGCCATGGTTGTTGCGCGGCCACCTGCGCTCTCATACCGGTGAGAAGCCCTATAACTGTGCTGCATGCGGTAAGGCCTTTGCAGACCGGTCAAATTTACGTGCACACTTGCAGACCCATTCTTCAGACAAGAAATACGAGTGCCTGCGGTGCCGCAAAACGTTCGCGCTCAAGAGCTACCTGAACAAGCATCAAGAATCGGCGTGCGTGCGCTCTGACGACGAGTAATGCGCTTCTGAAACGATTGCAACGAACGATTTCTCTATGAACTTCTTTACACCTTTATATTTAACGAGATTTGTTTTTATAGTATAGAATCTCGTGGTATCGACGGCGTTTGGAAATAATAAGCAATAATAATGTACCTAATTATATAGTTATGGCTCTTCCCATAATTCTAAAAAGGTTTAAGAAAAAAAAGCAAATTAAATGATGAATGGTATTTTTTCAATTATTAGTTCCGTATCGACGGAAGTAATCGAGTCAATTTATGGCAAGAGCCTGCAATGTTAAAGCGTAGCTTAATGTTTTACTTAGTATAATTAGATAAGTTAGCGTCGCACGTGCGGTGTGTGACGATATTAGATAGTAGTTACGGTGATACGTAGAGACTTATTGAAACCGTCGAGCTGTGGTACAAAGAGAGCAATAAAATAACGAGTGTAGAGTGACAGTGATAGTAGCACGAGTAGCGTGCGACGCGTAGATTAAGAGTACATAACGGATAACCACACATTGAGAGCGGTGGATTGTGCACTGCGCTATTGACATTGAGTGAGTATAAAACAACTTGGCGATCATAGTAGAGTCAATATTAGAACTGCATTCCCTAGCGCTCCAAAATCCCCGTTTTAAGGTAGCGGCCCGAGAGGACCAAACTGTTGCTCGGGCGCCGTGATTAGAGCTCCGGCCGTTGGCTACTGCGTACACCCTTTATGAGAACAAGACGGTCCTCATGTAATTTAAAAAATGTATCAGTTATTTAACGTTATCGAAATAATGTTTGCGTCATATTCTAGAAAACAACGAAGAATTGGGTTAAGTGAGAAAAGCGTTTTCCTATCGGCCCGACACTGTATCAGCAATAGTACCTAAAGCATCTCGCGGGTGCACGGCTCATCACTCGCGTATAGAGTACATTAAGGCGATCCACTCACGGCGTCGCAAGTCAACAGGGACACGTCGCATGTGATTGTTACTACGGTACGCGGATCACGACACAGAGTAAGGATGTTCAGTACCATTAATAATAAATCGCTGATAGTGCAGATCAGTGCAAATGGTGCAGTAACCGTTAGATTTAGTGAAAATTGAGAATTTATAATAGCTCAAAGTCAAATTTAATTAATATTATTATTTTATAATTATAATATTATCCAGTATAGTGAATGCAAAATTGATTAATAAACATTAATTAATCTGGCGATCGGTGGTTATGCACGATCAATTGATGATTTATTTTTTATATCAATTTATGATTAACAATTTAATATTGAATCTAAGTGTTATCAACTATTGTTTAGCGTGGAATGTATATCATAACACTAAATAGAAAAATTTTCTGTTGCACAAACATCCATAAAAAAATTGTTATCAGTTAAAAGTGACATTATTAAAACAAATTTACAAATTTAAAACATTATTTTGAGGTAAAAGCTGTCATGAAACCGTAATTAACGTTTTTGTGTAAATTAGGCAAGCAAATATTATAATTTTTAAACAACTTTAACGCACAATATAATAGTAGCAAAACAGCAATGTAAAAGTAAAAGTAAAAAGTAAAAGTGTAAAGGTAAAAGTGTCAACAGCCAAAATTATAAAATTACATCTATATGTAAGAATAGGTAAAAGTTGTTTGTTATTATAACATCATATCGACATATTTCATCGTGAGTGAAGATTCTAATTACGCAAGGCATGCATTTACGCATGTTACACATTCTTAAAAGGTTCCACGACATACAGTCTGGCTAATGGAAAAACGCTGAATTACTTTGTGTTTAAAAGCACTTGATAAATGAAGAAATGTTATATATAAAAGGACCGTCTGTACTCGGGGTTTCTGTCAGTCCCTCTATTTGTTCCTGAAATAATTCTCCAGAAGTAATAATACGTATGTATGTATCGACGTAATCCTAATATATTTTCCAAAATCACATATGATAAAAAAAAATATTTCTAAAATAAATGTGGGAAGGTGGACTCATGGAGGTCATGACTCCAGACCTTTTAGTAATGCCAATAAATTAATTTAATAAAATCCATTATCCTGTCTCGACCACAAATTAAGCTGGATCCACCGCAGCTTATTTCTGATAACAAACATTTATAAAGTATTTATACATAAAATCCATATACTTCATATATTTATACTAGTGCAAACCGACGGGGATTGGTACTAGAAAAAGTCAAAGTCAAAATAATCTTTATTCAAATAGACTTCTTAAAAGTACTTTTGAATCGTCCAACATTCTTTTCTCGTTCAGGACGTCTTTTAGAAAATATATATGTTGGATATGTTCGATACATTCTAGGAGAAATATTTTAAGAATAATAAATATATGGACTAATTAACACGTGGTTGTATGAGTAACATCGGCGGTGGTTCATACTGGTGATCGGCACGCTCCTTTATTAAATAGAGAAAACTTACAGATTTTTTGACGATAACTTCTAAATTATTACCAACTTCATATTTATAAATTCCAATTAAAATATGGTTGTTTCTTTACTGAATAATATCCTCGTTCTGTTCAAAATAAAAGATTATAAATACCTGTAAAGTTAACATCAACATGTTAAATATGTAATTAGTATGTGCCAATTACAATAAATTCGAATTAAAAAATAGCGATATATACATACATACAAAATTAATACAACTATATAAAATACACAACTGCAAATCAGGTATGTATTCTATTATCGCATAAACGCTTTTATTTTTGTTCTCATTAATTTATTGTTACCTAATTATTATTATTGGAGTTTTGTTTTCTATTGTTTAGTTATAGTATTAGAACGGTACTGTTATATTAATATAAGATATTTAAGTCACTTTTTCAATAGGCATACCATTATCAACATAAGTAACCGTAAGTTATGAACTTCAAACTATTGTTATGCATTCTCTAAAGGTAACTTACAATGTTCAACTAAAGTAAAAACTAAAAAATGGTTGGAACTAATATTTACATAATTTGTTTGCTGATTTTAAATTTAAATGTCAACCAATGTACACTACATTTTATATTATTGATATTTCTATTACTGCTTAGTGGTAACTTAATGATTGTTAATGTAGTTAAAGATTATATAAACATCAATGGGTAGTTAAGACTAGTATGTACTATGTCAGCGGGGTTCGAAAAGTTGTTGCAATATCGAAAACTACCTAAAATTAGATGAAGTTGGAAGACAGTCACACTAACCACAGGACTATCAAAACTATCATTTCCGATAATGGGCTCATTTATATTAGTCGATGGGGTCCATATACGAAGAACGGTCAACACCACGTCTGGTTATACAAATCTGTCAAGTTTCTCCACTTCATTTTACATTCTACTGTTAAAACATTAATTTTCAAACTTAACGTCTTAACAGTAATATCAAACTTAACGTTTAAACAGTAGAATTTAAAATCAACTTGAGAAATTATATATATTTTGGTAGCCTTTCGTGCAGCCGTGTGTACATCTGTGAACTTATTTTATTGGTCGAGAAATAAATGAACGGTCATTGAAAATAAGCTACAGAAATCTAAATATATACAGAATTTTGTACGTACGAGGGTCAAACTGAAAGTTCTTAGAACTGGCCACTTATAAACAATATAATAAAAAAATAATTCTAAAATTTGAAAATATAACTCTTTGCCAATATTACTGAGTATATATTTCATTCATTTGTCATTTGTTTTACGATTTGGCGGCAAATTGAAAATTGTCTGTGTCACGTCATCATGAATTTAACACGAGAAAATTTTCGTGCAATGATTTTTTATGACTTTCGATGTCATTTAAGTCAACAAGAAAGTTATGATAGACTACGATTGGCCTTTCACGATGAAGCCCCATCTCGTGCGACTGTTTACAACTGGTTTAATGAGTTTAAACGTGGTCGCACTAATCTCACTGATGATTTACGTGAGGGACGGCCTTCTACGGCGACGACTGAAGATAACATCTGTGTTGTGCGGCGTATGATAGAGACTGACAAAAGAGTGACCTATCAACAGATTCGGACAAGCTTAGGCATCGGTATGAGTCAAGTGCACAAAATCCTCCACGAACATTTAGCGGTCAGGAAGCTTTGCGCCCGGTGGATACCTCATAATTTGACTGAGGCTCAAAAACTCCATCGTGTGGATTGGTGTCGTAAAATGATTGAAAGATTTAACGGAGGTGACTCAAATGCTGTGTTCGACATACTAACAGGTGACGAAAGCTGGATTTACTGTTATGATCCTAAAACCAAAAGACAATCTGCTCAGTGGGTGTTTCCTTTCGAGGAGTTGCCAACTAAAGTGAAGAGAGATCGAAGTGCGGGAAAAAAAATGGTGGCCTCGTTCTTTGGAAGGATAGGTCATTTTGCAACAATTGTGTTAGAGGATCAAAAAACAGTTTCTGCAGAATGGTACACTACCAATTGTTTGCCACTTGTCTTGGAAAAAGTTCGAGAGAAACGACCTCGCAGTAGGATCCTCCTTCACCACGACAACGCCTCGTCACACACCGCCAAGCGAACGATCGACTATTTGGCGACATCAAACGTTGAATTACTGGGTCACCCGCCGTATAGCCCCGACCTCGCGCCTTGTGATTTTTATTTATTTCCAAAAATTAAAGAAAAACTTAAAGGAAAGCGGTTTATGAATGCTGAAGAAGCGGTGGCTGCGTATCGCGATGCCATTGAAGAGACCCCTAAGGACGAGTGGGCAAAGTGCTTTTCCCAGTGGTTCCATCGCATGCAGCGGTATATTGACGTGAATGGACAATATTTTGAAAAGATATAATAAAACTAATAACTGGCTAATGTAATCAGTTTTTGATTTTCTAAGAACTTTCAGTTTGACCCTCGTATCATCGTTAAATGTCGATAATATTAATTTTAAGCAATATTCTTAGTTACTTTTGAATCGATATTATAATAGTGTATGTCGAAGCAGATCGTTTCGATAGAGCTATCGATTATTCGATTGATTCACATGAACATAGATAGCGGTA